ATACGTCAAAAGATCACAAATCGTATCTAGTCGAAGACATTACCCTTAAAAATTGAAAAAAATTCCCTCGTTCCCCGTAAAAGGGGGAAACCTCCAAAAAAATTACAAATTTAAAAATCGCTAATTTTCGAAATTTTTTCAATTTTTTTTACTTAAAAGTGCCATAACTTTTTCAAAAATAAACATATCAATATAATTCTTTTTTATATAGATGCATAATATCATTACCTTTCATTTGGTATATTTTTTTCATAAATTTAACCCTTAACCTGGCCACATGGGGGGATTTAAAATGACAACTTTTTCACAAAAAATTAATTTTTTTAACTTAAATTTTGAAAATGTTCCGGAAGGTCTGACACTTTTATATATATCTTAAATTAAAGCTAATGTAATATGCTTTATCATGAAAAAAAAAAATTTCGGACTTTATCTTATCTTCATGGTGAAAATGGCTACCGAATGCTATTTTTGTGTGAAAATTTTCGATTTTGTATTTTCCATTTTTAACTTTATTATGCTATAACTTTTTGAAAAATGTATGAATCATTACAATTTTTTTATGAGAAGTAGTATTTATATAGATCTTTCATTCGACATACTGTTTTTTTAAATCGGACCATTTCCCTAAATACAGGGGGGATTCAAAACATAAAAATGCATATAGAAAGTAGAACTTTTTCAACGTAACTTTTGAAAGTGTTCCGGAAGGTCTGACACTTTTATATATATCTTAAATTAAAGCTAATGTAATATACTTTATAATGGTAAAAAAAAATTTCGGACTTTATTTTATCTTCATGGTGAAAACAGACATTAAACTTAATAAAAAAAATACGATTTTTGTAAAAAAATTCTTTTTTATATTTTTAACTTTATAATGCTATAACTTCTCGAAAGATGTATGGATCAATATAATTCTTTTTTTTGTAGATGCATGATGTCTTTACCTATCATTTGGTATATTTTTTTTATAAATCTGACTTTTTACCTGCCTACAGGGGGGGATTCAAAATGACAACTTTTTCACAAAAAATTGACTTTTTCAACTTAAATTTTGAAAGTGTTCCGGAAAGTCTGACACTTTTATATATATCTTAAATTAAAGCTAATGTAATATACTTTATCATGGAAAAAAAAAATTTCGGACTTTATTTTATCTTCAAGGTGAAAATGGCTACCAAATGCTATTATTGTGTGAAAATTCTCAATTTTATTTTTTACATTTTTAACATTATAATGCTATAACTTATTGAAAAGTGTATTGATCAATATAATTTTTTTATGGGAAATACTATTTTCTAATAATCTCTTTTTTATTCGACATACTTTGTCTTAATCAGGATATTAATAAGGAACTAGCAGTTTATGAAGCTTTTGGAATAATCCACCAATTTTTTAAAATTAAACACTATCTAAAGATTTGCATCGAAGCGTTTTTTTTTGATAGTGATTTTAATCACTGTCAGATATCATTATACTTGATCCAACTATGCCACGTAACCACTGTGCCGCGACCCCCCTGTGCTGGGTTTTTTTAAAAATGAACATATCAATATAATTTTTTTTTTTTATAGATGTCTTTACTTATCATTTGGTATATTATTTTTATAAATTTAACCCTTTACTAGCCACAGGCGGGGTTTCAAAATGACAACTTTTTCACAAAAAATTAACTTTTTCAACTTAACTTTTGAAAGTGTTCCGGAAATACTAAAACTTTTATATATATCTTAAATTAAAGCTTATGTAATATACTTTAATATGGAAAAAAAAAAATTCGAAATATATTTTGTTTTCACGATGAAAATGTCTTCCGTGTGCTATTTTTGTGTTAAAATTTTCGATTTTGAAATTTTATTTTATTTTAAAATACCTTACAAAAGTTTTTGAGTGAGAAAAAAATTTTTAAATCGTTTATTTTTATCTAATTTTTAATTCTTTAACTTCAGTTATTAAATATCAATTTCATACTACTTTGAATTGCTTTAATAGATATTTATTCACAAATTATACTTATAAATTAACTACTAATTAGAAATAATGATAGAAATTTAATAATTATTGAAAAAAAAAAAAATGTATTTTTTTTATTTAGTGTTCCAATTATTTTGTATAAATTTATAGATATTGTGTACAAAAGATAAAAAAATTTAGTGAACAATTTTATCCATTTAATAATTTAAAAGTTTATAATAATAATAAGCTCTGCACAGTAATTTCAAACTTTTTTGTTTTATCAAAGCATATTGGCTAATAATAAAACACTTTCTATAATATATGAGACTCTAAAAAATCTATGCCATATATCGACAACATCACTTAAAAAGGGGCAATATAAATGACAGAAATATCTACAAATAAGACGTTACAAAAATTATGAAACGATGCACTAAACTATAACAAGCTTTAAATATAAAAATCTTTTCATAAATGCTACTTGCTACTACACCATTCTGGCTGATTTTTGCCTTATTTCAAAAATGTATGATATATTTTTAAAATACAACATATCAGCATCGAATGTTTAAAATACTCAAATTCCGTAATAATACTAGGAAATCACCCCTTGAAAAAACATCCGGAGAAGAAAATAATAAAATAATAAGTCAGTTATTTACTAACCAAGGTTTAGCTAATTAATTGTAAATAATATTTATTGAATATTTATTCACATAACATCATAAAAATAACTATAATTCATAAATTGTAAAAATAAAATAAAATAATAACCATTATAGTGGTCAAAGTTTTTTGAAAAACAAAATAAAAAAAATAGTTTTGAACATAATATTGAAGAATAGTTAAAATGTTAATTTATCATCAAATTATGTTTTAGTTATTTAGAATATTATTAGTAATATCATGTGCAGTATATTTAACTCGTCGTAGAGTTCATGTCCGGAGCGATAGCTTCAGATCCGAGATTGAAGCTGAACTGTCGACTTAGCATGTTTTCTATGTTTTTTGGTAATTTTTTTTGTTGTTGTTGTTGTTTTTTTTTTTTTTTTTTTTGTCATAATCGCTGTTTTTGTTGTTATCGTTGACGTTATTGTTTTTGTTTTGATTTTCGTTAAATATAAAAAAAATTATTTGTTTTCGACGGCGGAGTACAGAAAACAGCGAAATGCAATTTCGAAAATGAGTAAATTATGTAATTGTACTATTTTTCTATTAACACGTTGACGACGGTGGGTGTTACCGGTGATACTCAGACTAATTTTTAAGACTATGGACAGACTATTAAAAACGGTTCTCGTCGTCAACGTGTTAAAATTTATAGTTTAAAAATCTAATATTTAAAGTATAAACTTAATATTTTAGTCACTAAAGCACACTAATAAATTAATAATACAAAGAGTTTACAATAAAAAAAATTGTCAAGCTGTTCTCCTGAAACGACAAAAAAGTATACATTATCAAGCTTTTCTAACCCGATTCTTTACATCATTTTTTCTTTAACTTGATTCTTTCTCTATCATTTTACTATTGTATCTATTCATTATAAAGTGGTTATCGGTATGTTAAGGATTTTTCACTTCATAACGATTTTCGAACATAATCTTTTAAAGTAGTAGATAATTCCAATTACTAACAGTATGTGGTAATAATTAAATAATATCAATCTAAATGAGATAAAACTCATACAAATTTGAATTTTTTGCCAATTTTTAAAAAAATAAAGAAAAAAAGTGTTCAAAAATTAATGCTCTCGATGAGATTCGCTCCATACCTCAAACGCAAGAGCCTCGCGCGTTACATTTCGGAAATTATTCACTGCAATTTAAAGACAATAAAAAAGACAATTTAAGGCGGTTCAAATTTTTATAATTGTTTTTCTCGATTTGGAGGAGCGCTGGTAAAAAATAAACACATTATAGTAAAATTAATACCTTTTCAGTTTTGCATCAAAACTAATTAATTATAACGATAAAAATCTGAAATTAATCAAGAATTACTAGAACACTAACCGTAAAGTTTTTGAATGGTATTACACATAGAAACATGTAATGGATAATCGTTGCTTTTCATATTGCGACAATAACCAGTTAATTCTTTCGGGGGCATTAGAGTGTTCTGTTTTGTCATACGGAATACTCTGTTAGTTGCCAGTGCAAAGTTTTCAACTCTTATTTCATATTCCCCGTCAAAATCATTGAAATCAATTGCAAAATGCGTTTTTAGTGGCTCCCCCGGTCTCACTTTTGTCCTATAATAGACACTCCAATTTTTTGGATACTTTTTTTGAGGCTCCGAACCTGAAAATATAATAAAAATAAAGTAATTTAATAGTATTTGCTTATAAAGTGTACGAAATTTCGTATTCAACTTATGACTTCGAAGTGATTAGTTTGATAGCGAAGAATGTACGGTGTCTAAAAAACAGGGGCATCATTTTAATTTTATTTTTATTATGCATAAATATCAAAGAGGCCACAGTGTAAATATATTGGGTAATGAGATTGATGGAGAAAATCATACAAAACTGTAGGGAGGAAAAATGATTATATAGAATTTAATTAAGCAAATGTATACTCGGTTTATCAAAAATGACGCCTCAGTTTATACGTTTTTTCAATTAAAATTATGCTGTTGAAGAAATTTGGATCTAAAATTTTTGTTTATATTACGCTTATGTTTTTAACTTAATACATAAAAGAAAAAATATGTATTGTTTAATTAAATTATTTTTTATTTGGATTGATTTACTCAAAATTATGATTGATCACAAAAGTCCTTTAAATTGCAACATCCATGTTATGCTTACCTCAGTAACTGTTTCATGGATGGAGTAGACAAAAAAAAAAGGACATAATGTTAAAATATTTTTTCTGATGAGAAACTGTAGTAAGAAAAAGTTCCTATGTATACATAGTAAATTAAAAGTATTATATGATAAAACTCGTTTTAAATTTAAAAATTATTCTAATAAACAATTTTTTTTATAAAACTAGGTGGTAATTTGAAAGTATTTAGTGCAGAATAGGATTAAATACTAATTAAAAGTAGGCTATTATAATTTTTTTGAAAAAATAAAAAAAATATTTGTTAATGTAATTTATGTACCTTTTGTATAATTGTTCGGGCGTGATTATTTATCACTAAAAGATATTAAATAAATTTAATATAAGACGTTAAGTTCAAAAATTGATATGCTTTAATTCTTATATACGTGAGCGGTGCGCTGTACAAAGTTATTACTCTATTATAAAAACTAACAACTGTACGGCCGCCAAACAAGATGAGGTTACACAACAATGACGACACTTATTGTATAGGCATAAATAATAATTATATGGTACAAATGATATTTGTCACTATGAAACTCTTTTTAGTCACTATCGGACGTATAACTGTAAATACTACAAAATTGATGGTATTTTACCGTTTGAATTTTCACAAAAATCGCCATAATAACCATCCAGACAATCACACGATAGCCGTCCCATTATCGACGTACAATTACTACCATTTTGGCACTTTCCCCTGTCTTTATCGCAGGCGTTCAAGTAGGACTCACATTCGCGACCGCTGAATCGACCTTTCGTTAAGGCATTACAGTCACAGCCCAAATTTTTTCCTGATTTTCCCCAGTTATTACAACCCGCGTCGTTGCAATCTGATCCACAAAACTTAAGTTTCGCCATTGACCGTGCAATTGACCACAACATTAAACAGCAACATGTTAAGTACAAAAACGACATTTTCGATTTTAAAAAACTTGTTGATTTCACACAGCGACAACCAAAATTTAGCTTTAATTTATTGTTATTTCAACAATATGATACAATTACATTCTAATAATCATTATAAATCAACAATATTAAATTTATTAAAATAAAAAAGTTAATATTGAATATTAAAAAAATATATATTATTTTGTTGCCATCACTATATTTCCTGTGTATTGTAATAATGTTTTTGTAGAAGAAAAATATCTATAATTCAGTGTTATGACTCAACGGAATAAATTATCATTATTAGCAGGTTAAAAGCATAGGTCTACGGTAAAAAATAACATGAAAAAATTGCATTTCCGGTATAGATGACGTTTGGGATATTTGTACAAAAAACGATTTTACAGTAAGTAGTATTGACTATTCGTATAAATCACGTCGAGGCAAATCGTAAGAAACCCGTTTTTGCGTACGATCTCGAATGTACGCTGGCCGTTATCAAAACAGTCGTCTGCCGATAAAACGACTGACTTGATATTTTAACTGAGTAGTGCGTTGGTCTCACCTGCTTACAAAATTATTCGTGTGAACATCTTTTTTTAGTATTTATTATTCCCGGATTTTAAAATGTCTTCAAACACCAGAAGTTCAGCTTTTCGTAAAATTGACGTAGATCAATTCAATGAAAATTTTAAAGATGACGAGCAAACAGAATTTCAGTCTCCAACATCTATACCTGATGAGGCGGAAATCACTAAATTAATTAATCAGTATCCTTTTTTAAACTTATATTGTGTTGGAGTAATGATTAGGAATTACTTATATCATTTTATATATCTTGTTTGTGTAAGTTGATGCAAATTCATGCCATATTTTATGCAATGAAAAAATATTGGCATATTTTAATTATCTGTCAACAAGAAAGTAATTTTTAATCTTTAAATTTGAACTTATTTTTTAATTTTTGAAAATTTTAGTGCTTCTGAATGTTTTTCTGTTTAAGAAATATCTAATGTTAATTTTAGAATTATTACATTTTTTACCATGTAGTATTAGTTCTTGTAAATAATGCAGTATTTTCAGTAGCTAATTATTACTACTTGATTCATAATTATTGGATTTTTTTGTGTTATTTAATTTTTAATTAAATATAAATAATGCATATACATTAATAGATTAATTCTTAGATCAATCATTGCCTATTATTAATTTGTTTGTTATTTTAATTAGAAAATAATTGTCTTAGCAATGGTATTATTTTTTTGTTTCCTTATATAATTTATACAGAGGAAATCTCGCTGAAGCTTTAAAATCTGCATTGAAAAATGCTCCTTTAGGTTCTAAGAATCAACAATTAAAGGTTTGTAAAAATAAATCTAATCTAAATTAATATTATCTTAGAGATAAAAATTTTATAAAATTTTGTAAATCAGTTTTTCCTTTTTGATTAATCCCTATAATAATTTATTAACAATATAACTTTGAAAACGATAAAAAATTCACAAAAAAACTATCATATCAATATAGATATAAGAAATGTAAAAAAAATTAAATATTTGAAAGACAATACTAAGATATGTTTTTCTTTTTTTAATTTATAATTATATTTTTCAATATATTTTATTTATTTGAAGGACAATGCATTGAATGTAGTCATGAAAGTTTTATTGGGTACTAAAGTATCCCAAATTGATGAAGTTGTAGCCCAATTGGATATTGATACAATTGATATTTTGATGAAGTATATTTATAAAGGTTTTGAAAAATCTACAGAAAAGAAAAGCAGCCATTTACTTATGTGGCATGAAAAAGCTTATGCTCTTGGTGGTGCTGGAAGTATAATTCGAGTGTTAACAGAACGAAAAAGAGTGTAATCCATATTATATATTTATCTGGGCAAATATTTATTTTATGGTCTCCTTGGAAAATCAAACAATATTTCCATTTGAAATCAAACTTATTTAATAACCCATAACTTCATCTAGAATCATTGTTAAAAACTCTTAAACATTTTGTAATTCTGTCTAACTAAATTTTATTAATCATGTTTAATATTTCAAAATATTAATTTATATTTTATCTGGTAGCATTAAACAATGGCGACTGAAATAATTTGATGCTTTCTAAGTATTATTAATAAGTCTAATATATTATGATAATTTGTTCAAATTAACCATAAACGATTTTAATTTTTCAAACAGATGTCCAATATAATAAATAAAGTTGTTAATTTATATCCCCTCAATGATTAAAAGTTGATGCCTGATCATGTTTTAGAAAAAGTTTTATTTAAGTTGTGAGTATTATTACAAATTGTTTTTACTTAAAGAAATTATAGTGTTAATATTATGATTTCATAAGTTTATAAAGTATAATTGAAGCATTTATATTGTAACATAAACATTTAGAATTACGATTATTCTAAGTTAAGATAATTGATGAAAAAAAATTGCCATTCTAGACTTGGACTTACAATTTTATTGAGATTCAACGAGTGAGTTGTAAACCTATTTTTATAATAAATGTATTAAAATTTAATTTGGCATTTTTTTAAATTCTTATTTTATTTTTTAAATTATATTTATATGATATAACTCATTAAAAATTATAAATATAAATAGTAAAAAATAACAACATTTTTAACTTTGAAAATTTTTAGATTTTTAGCAACATTATCAAGTCTTTACAAAACAATGAATTATTCTTACAAATCTTTTTTTTTTTTCATAGAAAATAAATCATATTTATAGTACATTACAGCATTTTGAAGTATTAAAAAATAATAATTTGCCGAGTTCATAGCATAGAAATGTGTTCATATTGCTTTGCTATATAAAATAATTTGAGTGTACCAAGTCAAAAAAATATTTTATGTTTAATATTTAAATTATTATTTTTTACATTTATTTTAATTATATATATATATATATNAACAACTTGGGAAAAATAAACCCCGCGCGAGTAAACAAAATTCTGTAGAGGATAAATTTTCGGCACAGAAACATTTCAAGTATTTTTTAGCTAAAAGATGAAGATACAGATTACGTTCTATTAGCTAAATTTTTACTGTTTGATTCCACTTCGGAACCTAGTTGTTGATAATAACAACGTTTCAAATCATTTTCATATCAATTCTTCAGTTAAGATTTAATCTGTCTAATATTAATTCTTGTAAGTATCCAAAAATAAACGATTGAATTAATCGTTTTTTACTAACATTATGATATTAATTACCGTTGTTAATATCATCAAACGATAATGTATTAACTAATTGATAATCAATCATTTTTTATATATTCTATATATCGAAAATACCTTTAGCTCTATTATTATTTAGTAGATAATATCTACTAATAATATTTTTCTTTCATTATTAACCATGTTACTAATTGCATTATTAGGTAGGGGTTTATTTGTTTGTTGCCTCTCTCAAGGAAAATTTTAACTGAAAAGTCATGGAATTTTAAAGTTAAAAATTGTGGTAACCAAGAAATTATAAATTCATAAGTAGCTAAATAAGTGTATCTTCAAATATCGATGAAAGTGTGATCTCAGCCGTTTTTCAGTAAGTTGAAGTGTAATTTATCACTAGTTTAATCTACTGTGTAAAGAATTTAAATTGAGCTTATATCTACTTTAAATCACTCTACTGACAACTGAAAATACATAGGCCACTTGTCGATAGCTTTTGTACAAAAGTAATAATATTATTTACAATCTCACTATTGGTATTAACACTTATGAAATTGTAAATGTGTTGAATTCTAAATACTACCAGGTATACTCCTAATTAATTTCCGGTTTTTTTCGATAGACGGCGTTCTATGTTTTGTGTCGCTGTTGGTCACACATACCTGTCATTTTGTTTAGTTGTTATCGAGTGTCTAGACTTGCGTTGACATTTCCGCAAAAGATTCTTCCAGTAAGTTTTTATTACGCGTCAAAAATGTCAGCGTATTTACCGAATTTTGAGCATATGCGCCATGCATTGCTTTTTATGTTCAATCAAGGAAAAAAGTGTCCGAGAGCCACTGTGCGCTTGTGGAAGTTTATGGCGATTGTGCATTAACACTTCGAACATGTGAAACGTGGTTTCGACAATTCAAAAATGGAGATTTGACCTGAACGACGCCGCACGCTCTTGCAAGCGAAAAACGTATGATGACGCCGAATTGCAAGCATTATTGGATGAAGACAACACGCAGCCACAACGACAGCTTGCAGATACGTTGGGAGTTCAACAGCAAGAAATTTCCAAACGTCTGCGAGCCATGGGGAAAATTCTGAAGTGTGGAAAGTGGGTGCCGCATGAACTGACCGAGAGACAATTGCGGAATCGAAAAGTGACGTGTGAAATGCTGCTTCAACGGTACAAAAGCAAGTCATTTTTGCATCGTATTGTTACTGGCGATGAAAAGTGGATTTTCTTGGAGAACCCTAAACGTAACAAATCGTGGGTGAGTCCAGGTGAAGCATCGACATCGACAGCACGTCCAAATCGTTACGGTCGGAAGGTCATGCTGTGTGTGTGGTGGGACCAGGCCGGTGTGATCTACTTTGAACTGCTGAAACCTGGCGAAACTGTGAACGCCGTTCGCTACTAACAACAAATGAAAGATTTGAGCCGAGTGATTGCGGAAAACCGGACAGAATATCATGAAAGACTGAAGAAAGTGATTTTGCTCCATGACAATGCACCATCTCATAAGTCGAAAGTCGTTCGCAACACGCTGGAAAAACTCAAGTGAGAAGTGCTTGACCATGCGGCTTACTCACCAGACCTGGCCCCATCCGACTACCACCTTTTTGCCTCGTTGGGCCATGCACTTTCTGAGCAGCGCTTCGACTCGTACGAAAATTTGCGGAAATGGCTCACCGAGTGGTTCACCTCCAAAGACAGTCAATTCTACTGGCGTGGAATCCACAAATTACCAGAAAGGTGGAAAAAATGTGTAGAAAGCGATGGAAAATATTTTGAATAAAATAACTAATACAGTTCCCTTGAAATTATGTATTTTATTTACAAAAAAAACCGTAAATTAATTAGGAGTACACCTGATACATTAGATGGTTGTAGAGCAAATCGTATAAGCACACAAAAAAGACGAATTACATTAAGTCCTAAGAATATATTAAAGTTAATTCTGACTTTGTATAGATTTAGTGTAAAAATTGTACTGAAATAATAGTTGCACGTGGATTAGCTTATTGATAAAGGTAGCATAAGTTTATAGTGTATAAATGAACAATCATAATCGTCAATAATGATATCAACTGTAAGATGAGAAAATATTTTCTTGTACGATAAACCTTTCAATAGTCCCTTCATCAAAAGAATTTTAAGTAATAAACAATTAAAGTCAAATAGGTCGTCGTAAACAAACTAAGTGGTTGCATAAAACAGCATGTGATCTACATTTTATACAGGCTCATGTGTATATTTTTGTGTAAGCATTGACTATTTTTGTCTTTTAACCCTACATCAAACGTGCTTTTACACACACACATATACATCGAGATCCTTTCATTTTAATCCTTAATATTGTCAATGACCATATTCCTATTCACCCTTATGATAACCTTTGACTTTTTGTTAATTACATTATGATTGTTGTTAAATATTTTTATTTTTATTTTATTAAGGTTATAAATCTAATAGCAGCTCAATATATTTTAGTGAAAATGTATTTAATATCAATTAACAAAAAATGGCTAATCATTTACAAAATGGAATATCTGCTCGCTAATGTTGATTGTTTGAAAATTACTAAATAGAAATTTTTTTTCTGCATTCTTGAAAATTTAATTTCACTTTATAAAATGTAATTAAAATTAGAAATTTTCGGTAGTACATTTGTAAATTAAAAGCAGTTAAGTTTATTTAAACATAGTAGATCATAGCAATCACGATGTTTTTATTTATCTTCAATTTTAAATAAATGTTTTTATAGTAAAGTGTGATACCGAAAAGTAATTTTTTAGTTATATTATTCTTATGAGATAATAGTCTTGTTAAATGAGCAATGATATTGGTTTCCATTTGTAAGATTTGTATAAATATACAGTAGCACAGCAGGTAAAACGACTACAACCCATCGCCGGTTATCAATTGTTTTGTTATGTTTATCAATCATGTTACTTAAATTTCGATAAGAAAATAACGGGACGTCTATACGATTGCTAACAAATCCACTTTGATTTCCTTTTTTCTTATGGCTATACAACAGTATAGAGCGGTCAGGAGTCAGTACCAACATATACGGAGTTGTCGTCATGACGTGTCAGCCGAAATTGCTGGACTATCAAGTCGGTGTCTTGAGTGCTATTTATTCACTCAATAGCTCCCGTCTATTAAGTTATTAGTTCAAAACAAATACTTATTATGTGGTTGTTTTTTACGAATTATAGTTTTTTTTAAAATTAAAGTATTAATCCTACGTTTCAAGTACTATCATAATTTATTCAACAAATTACTTATATTATTTATCAATATTTGTATATAATGAATGAATAATATGTACGTTAATTTTTATAATATATTATGAATTTGCCATTGATCCTTGTCTAAACTACTAAAAATGATGACTATTTTGAATGAAGGCCGACCGTCAAAGATGAAAAATAGAATAAAGCAGCCGTCCAAACATACAAATAAGACTGAAAAACAGGTAATTTTTTATCTGATGATTTCAGTTGTTTGAACTTTGTTTAATTTAATTTAGTATATATATTTTTTGTTGTATATTAATTAATGATTCTGAACTTTATCAATAACTTTCCATCTGGAAATTAAATAACACCTAAAGCTTAATTTTTTTTTTGGTTTAAACACATACCTAATTTACTTTTTTGCTATAATTTACATCAATAGAAAAGTTTTTAAACTGTGATACCACCTAATGTTTTAATTTTTTGTTTTATTATTTTAGAATAGCAAAGCTGAAAAAAATGATTTAAATATAAAACGACTTTCAGACAATGAACAAAAAGATCTAATCATAAAGCAGCAAATTGATGATGAGCTGTTTAGTAAAATAAAATATAATGATAAGTACAAACAAATTATCTGTAAAGAAAAATCAAACGACGAACAAAAACAAGATATTTTTAATAACTTCAAGATAAGCATAGAGATAAATATTTTAGCTGTAGTGTTATTCCTATCGGCAGTATCTTCTAGGTTTTTCAAACTTAATCAACCAAGAAATGTTGTGTAAGTTATAATTGTAAACATATATATTGTAAAAAGTTGAACCTTTTATTATGACGAAAGAACATTTTTATATCTTAGTTATCATCAAAAATAATTGCAAATTTTTTAAATTTCATAGTTTTGAACTGGGTCAGGGGCGTCATTAAAATTTTTTTTTTGTTTTGCATAGATATTGTAGTTTTTGTTAAACAGCGTGAGTCACAAAGATATGATAATCCAATAATGCTAAAAGTACAATTTTCTTAGAAAACATAGCTATTTCCAAATGTTTTTATTATTTTTTTCTAATTGTTGATTAATAAAAAATTTGCTTTTAACATAGTCTTATAAGGTAATAATTATTAAAAAAAATAAATAAACATCAACAAAATGATAATTGGATTAAAAGTTATTGAATTTATCATATGTTTGTGACTCACATTGTATAGGGTAGGTAGTTTCTTATATCATATTTGGATGATCAGACCTGATAGACTGCACCGTAGGGCCCAAAATTTTAAAACAATTTTTGTTATGTGTTGTATATTACGCGACCCAAAAATATGTCTGAACTCAATATTATAGCTAAAATTTTGTGTAATATTAAATAATGTTTGCTTTATAGGTTTGATGAATTACACCATGGAAAGTATGTAAGTTTGTATATGAAAAGAACATTCTTCTTTGATACACACCCTCCCCTAGGCAAGCAACTTATATCTGCTGCTGCATACTTTTGTAACTATGAAGGTAAGTTTATTATAAATGTAAATTATTATATATTAGATTTCCGATTATTTTTTATTAACATTTAAATAAAAAAAAAAAGACCATGAATATAGGTTAAAATTATATAGTATTATATAACAATATTATAAATTTATTATTATAGTAGGGTAATGGCACCAGTAATTTCTATACTAATCAATTTTCAGTAATAGAGCTAATACTTAACAAATGATTTATTAATGTTTTATATAGTATTTTAATGTTTGAATCAACTATTAGACATAATAAGGAAATACAAGCTTACTTTTTAAAACCTCAAAAAAGACTATGACATATCAAATATAAAAATTTGCAGAAGATTGTAAAACTCAATAACTAGTGCTGTTATTCTATAAAAACATATTATTTTTCATAAATTATTAATTTACTGTATTTATACTATAATTAGTTTCTATTTGCAAGTTTTTTAGTTTAGTAATTTAATTAACATTCCATTCTAGGGCACTAAAATTTTGTTCAGTAATTGCATATAAAATTTATTTTCTATGGAATTATTTTCCAGGTGACTATAAGTTTGAAAGAATTGGAAGTGAATTCAGTGAAAATGTTCCTTTATTTGGATTACGTTTTGTACCTGCATTGTGTGGTAGTTTAATAATTCCTGTTGCTTATCAGCTAATGTTGGAATTGGGTTGTCGACATTGGTGTGCAGCTTTGGCTGCATTTCTGTTACTTTGTGGTAATCACTTACTCAGCTTGAAATGGAATTATAGAATTTTATGTTCAATCAAAAATTGAATTAAAAAAATAATTTATTTTTATTTTTTTAGAAAATACATTGTTGACACAATCTAGATTTATTTTAATGGAATCTATGCTGATTTTTTTCACTTTATGTGGTTTATTGTTTGTTTTAAAATACAAAAGATCCAATATGAAATCTTCTACAGCTTTACTGTTCCTAGCATGCGCTTCAATCTTTTTGACTGCGGCTACATGGTAAATAGATCAATTGATGATATCAAGTTATGATCACCTTAGTAAATTTATACTTGGATCTATATTTACAGTGTGAAATATGTTGGGCTCTTTTCTTGGTTTTTAAGTTTTTGGATAATTTGCCGTGACTATTGGGTGAACCATTTGAGTGATAAACGTTTATCAGATTTCACAGTAGCTGCATGTGCTATTTTAAGAGTTTTAATTACCATTACTATTTCTGTGATGGTGTATGTATCTGTGTTTTTTGTTCATCTAATGATTTTAAACAAAGCTGGTCCACATGATAGTGTTATGACTAGTGCATTTCAAGCTAGTCTAGAGGTAATTATTAATTTTAAGTTTCAATATTAAGAACATTTACAACTATATAGATTAAATTAAAAATTAAAATATTCCTCCTGTTTGTTAAATTACGCTAATATATATTAGCAGCTTAGATTAAATGATAATAGCTCAACAAGTAATTTTACATTGAATAAAAATTTAACTTATGAAATTATAATTAGAACAGGGTTTAGTGAAATGGAAATGCAACTTATACAGTTTCTTTGTGCTTAGCACTTTAAAGAACCTCATTAAGTACTAATGAAATAAATTTATTAAATTAAAAATTATCATAAGCTATGTATTAAAAATCTAAAAAAATGTTGATATATTTTAACATTCTAAATTGTAATTTATTTAAACAAATTTCTACTGTCATTTCTCTTTAGGGTGGTCTGGCATCTATCACTAAAGGACAACCTTTGAATGTTGCTCACGGATCCCAAATCACACTGCGACACACTCATGGACGTACATGTTGGCTTCATTCCCACACCCATGTGTATCCAATAAAATATGCAGATAAACGAGGTAGTTCCCATCAACAACAAGTCACTTGCTATACATTCAAGGTACCAAAAACTTTAAGTTAAATGACAACTGAAAATAATTAAAACTCATTTTTTTATATATTACATATAGTAAATTATTCTAAAAATTTATATGAAATTCATAATAAAACAATCAATCCAGTGAGAGCTGAGATTGGATGGTAACAAACACAAAAAAAAAATAATAAAAAAAATTCATCATAGTAAAATTAATACCTTCTAAGTTTTGCATCGAAGCTAAAAAGACATTAATATTTTTTAATTATTTGGTGCTATAAAAGTGATTTAATATTCTTGTAGGATGTTAACAATTGGTGGATTGTCAAAAGACCTGGAAAGAATTCTTTAGCTGTAGAAAATACCAAAGAACCAGATGGTATACAACATGGTGATTTCATTCAGTTAGTTCATGGTATGACTAGTCGTGCTTTAAATTCTCATGATGTAGCAGCACCTGTATCTCCTCAAAACCAGGTTAATAGTACTTACCAATTTTTTCATAAAGTTAATGAAACTCAATCCTTATTAATAAGATCACTTTAATAAAAAAAAAAATCAGTTTTACATCCTTTTATTTTGTGAATTTAACGTGCTGCAGAAGTGCTGGGTCGGGTATTATGGCCAGTTTACACTAGAGACCAGACACCACCGACGAGAAAATCTTGTTGGTACCTTGGGGATTGAACCCGGGTCCCCATATGCCAAAACATACGTTTTTACCCACTAGGACAGTCCAACCCCTAATAAGATCACTTTTGTCTAATTTAAATAACAAATTTTACATAGTTCTAACATATTAATCAAAAGTAGCATTACAATTTATTATTACAAATGTTTGTATTTTAATGATTATCTAAAATAATTTTAGGAAGTATCTTGTTATATAGACTATAATGTATCTATGCCAGCTCAAAATCTATGGAAAGTGGAAATTTTGAATCGTGAACAGTTTGGAAATACTTGGCAAGCCATAAATTCTAGGGTAAATAAATTTAGTTAAAAATGAAATTTGATATGTTTATGCAGATATATTTATTTTTTATATTAAAGTATATTATATATAATGAATAATGTAATGTAATATATATATATGATATAATGAATAATTTTGTATAATTTAATAGTTAATAGTAAAAAGAATTGGTGATTTGTGGCTAGTATTATTTAAAATTAAAAATCTATTTAAAATAATAATTTTAAGTAAAAATATAAAAAAACACAGACACGTATTTTGGGAACAATGGTCCTATTATCAATGCAAAACACATATTCAAAAACTTATGTGTGATTTTTTAGTAATTTTTTGTACGTTTTTGAGTTAAATATAGTTTTATATTTTTTAGTTTTAAACTAATATTTGTAGTATATTTTTAATTTTAAATAATTAAATAAGCTTCTAACTACTTTCCCAATATATTGTTAGTTTTATTATTTATAATACAAAAAACATATAAAAGATAATTTTTTTATAGGTAATGTTGATTCATTTTAACACCTCTCAAGCTTTAAAATTCAGTGGTAGACAGTTGCCAGATTGGGGATTCAATCAACATGAAATTGTTACTGATAAAGTTTTGCATCAAGATGATACAGTATGGAATGTTGAAGAACATCGTTATACTAAAAGTAAATACATTGTAAAATTTATTAGATATTTAAAAGATTTCAATTAAATGAATAATTTAATAGAGGCTAATATAAAAAAAACTGAATTTGATTTTGAAATTTAGGTGAAAATGAAAAAGATCGTGAACGTGAACTAGTGAATGCTGAAATGATTCCAACCAAAGGAACAAAATTGAGTTTATGGGAAAGGTTTTGGGAATTGCAATATAAAATTATCTTTTCATCTCCAGCCACACAAAATATCCATTCACACATGTACAGCAGTGATCCCTTGGAATGGCCTTTAATGGTTCGTGGTGTTGCCTATTGGTTGAGTGAAAATGATAATGTAAGTTCATATCAAATGTAACAAAATGACAAGATATGTGTATATGCCATGTCATTTTTTGTATGAATTGATATTTATTAGATCAATTTTTAATATATAGTAAAAAGAGAAAAACAATTTTGTATATGACCACATATTAAAATTCAAGTATGAAAATTATAATCAAAAATCAAGTTTTTTATTTTAGCTGATTTTTCTTATAGTTAATAATTTTAGGATAAATAAGAAATTATTAAAATATTTCTATTTTAAAATAAAATAAAAATATAATAATAAAAATAGCCGCTAAATTTTTTCTTAAAATAATAAATATTTTGTGAATTTTTTTTTTTAGCTTTTATTAGTTACATATGTATCTCCATTTATCTGTTATGAAACATTTATTATGTTCATCCCTAATGTTGTATAAGGGGGTCAACTTTATTTTTTTAAGTTGAAACATACATATTTAAATAGCTTATAAAATATAAAATTATCTAATTAAAATAATGACTGGTCACTAACNTTATAAAATATAAAATTATCTAATTAAAATAATGACTGGTCACTAACAAATTTGGACCAGTATTTCAGAAGTTATTAATAATTTAATATAAGGATTGGAGGTGTAGAGTATGAGCTGCTATTTTTATCACTAGTCATTTCTTGGCCTCACTCCTCTTTTTGCCTAGGTATAAAAATGTTTCTATTTAAAAAATAAAATTGGCACCCCTAGAAAACATTAGAGATGAACATAATAAATATTTTATAATAGATAAATTGATATATATATATATATATAACTAACAAAAGTAAAAAAAAAATCACAAAATAATTATTATTTTAAGTAAAATTTAGTCGCTAGTATTAAAAGAATCATTTTGTATTTTTCTAGCTTATTACTAAGCTTTTTTTGTCTACTAAGATATGTATTTTATACAAACATAAAATAGTCATTATTATAATTATAGTAATTTAAACTTTCTATTCAATCTAAGAAGGATATATGAAATTTTTTTATTGGTAATAATTATTAGATTACTTTTATTGACAGTACACATTGTGTTATTATAGGGCCAAATACATCTTTTAGGTAATATTGTCATCTGGTATTCATCCACTCTGTGTGTTTTATTTTATTCATTCTTTTTCATATTCTACTTACTACGACAGAGAAGAAAAATTTATGACTTGTCTGAAGGTAATTGTATAAAATGTATAACATAATATTTAGTCACAGTAATAAATTTATATCTATAAAAATTTATTTTATTTTCAACTATGTTTGATTTAATCATTTTAACTATTAATGTAATTTATTTTTTAGACGAATGGGAGCAGTTCAAATATATAGGAGAAGTTTTGATGGTTGGTTATATTATGCATTACCTACCATATTTTTTTATGGACCGTACTTTATTTCTTCATCATTATTTGCCTGCTCTTGTGTTTAAAATATTACTATGTGCAGCTTTTATGCAACATCTTGCCAATATTGTCAGGNACTATGTGCAGCTTTTATGCAACATCTTGCCAATATTGTCAGGTAACTTTTATTCTATTATTTTTTCAGTTTATACTTTCATTAATTAACATTTCTTACAGAAATGTTTAAATGATATTTTTTCAGTTTATACTTTCATTGATTAAAATTTCTTACAGAAATGTTTAAATGATATTTTTTCTATTTAACATTAGACCAAGACTTGCCTGCAAAATAACATTAAAAGCGTTTTAATGCCTACTAATGCTGGACTACTTACCAAACATAGTATTATTGGTCTCCAGTCTAGATCACTTACTGATTAAAATAGCTCATTGACATTTATTTGTAAATGGTCCAAGAATTGTAAAATTTTGCTATTTACTTTATTTTATTGTTTTCAAATTTAATTGAAAATAATTTTTTATAAATTTATTGGCATGATTTTAATTGAGGTGCTTTACAAAGCAGGTTTTGATCAACCTATTCTAAGTAAATTCAAATCATATTAGTATCAAATGATATCTGACAGTGATGTTTGTTTATTTGAAACTATTAAAAAAAAAAAAATCATATATACCCAACTATTATATGATTTATACATTGACTTAAAAGGCTAATTATTCTCAAAAGACAAGACATTGGAACATTGTTCTTTTTTAATCATATATTACATTAAACTTAAATTTAAAGTAATTCAGAATGATGCAAATATTCTGTTACTATGCAAAAAACTACAAAATTAGCCTTTCTGTACTGAAATTTGTATATTTTTTGGCTTTAATGTAACTCATAGAAATCGAGATTTCAAGTAGATTTTCTTTTCTATCTTAAAGTACATTGAATTAGGTTTAATGAAATTAGGGTTTTTGGAATTTTATCTAAAAATTTAAAATAAAAAAATGTTGATATGATTTTTAAACACCTTCCCATTACTTTGGTTAGTAATAAGATTTTTAAAACAAATATGTCATTGTTATGGTTAATGTTGAAAGTATTATGAATAAAAATTTCCATCCAGTTTTCAAAATGTTATTTTAATATAATGTACAAAAATTGAAAATATCAACATTGATTGTTTTATAATGACAATTGATCACATGTGGCTAATATTATTTAAAGTTAAAACTATATAAAAAATATTATTAATTTAAAACTAGTAAAATATTAAACAAAAAAAGTATGTGTTTAGTGTTGATAATGGTAATATTGTTTACGAAATACGTATTCACGATTTTAGAGTATTTCTTTGTAGTTTTTTGAGCTTAATATTTTTAGTTTTAAATTAATAATACTCTTAATATAGTGTTAATTTTAAATTGATTGTTTTATAGCAATTATAACTTTATGGGAAATTTATCTTTATTATTGGGATTGAAGGATATTTTTTAGTAGAATGTCTACAGATACAAAAAAAAAAAACCAGATTAAAACAAATAGTTTCTCAGCAGAGCTAATACATTTTACTGTTCAATTTTCAATTAAAATTTCTTATGTATTTAATGTTATTAACTGTTTTTAGATCTAACATGACTTTGAGGTTTGCATTTCATTTAAGTCTCTGCATGTGGATCTTGTGTGTCATGTATGTTTTCAAAAAATTCATTGTCTTCAGTTATGGGACCAGTCCATTGACAGCTAAAGATGTTTTTAAACTAAGATGGAAAGAAACATGGGATTTCATTGTTCATAAACCTTAAATAATTAGAGAATTTAGTATTACCTATAAAATCGATCTGATATTATAAAAATGTAACATATCATGACACATACTAAGATACATAATAGTACTTACATTACATATAGTTTATTAAAATATTTCTACTTATTGCAATATTACTTAAGATCAACTTACTTATTAAAAATGTATTATATTACTATTATGATCCTATCAATTTCCTTTTTTTTTTAATGTTTTGTTTTTCTCTAAAACTAAAACTAATATACTGTCTAAGAAACATTAAACTTTATCATTTAGTTTTATCTACATTATTTTGTATTTTATTTTTTGCCATTAAGAAGTTTTATATCAATATAACATGCAATTGTTTTATATTATTTTTTTCAATAGTGTAGCAATTTACTCAAATTCTTTGTGTAATTAAAAAACAATTAATAACGTATATTTTGTATTATACAATTAATTGTAAAATATAAATAAAGAAAAAAGGAAATGCTTTATAATAATTTTATACAGAATTTACATTTTTTTTTTTTTTTGAAACATAAAGAAGTTTTGTTAAATTTAAAATAAATCTCAGTGTCTTCTTAATTCTTCATTTTTACTGCCTTAGTTACCTCACAAATATCAATTGATCAAATTTTATTTAAAGTACATTATTAATGATTATAATTTTTTTTATTCACAGTTAAAAAAACTTAAATGTTCAATAATGAACATGTTAAAACTATAATTTCTAACGTGATAATATTTTAATGACTTAACATTTTTATCAGTATTATACTAAGTCTTGATTATTAGTTATTAATTATAAAATTTTACTTAAACTAAATTTATTTTGTTATAAATTTTGTTATTTACTTCATAATGTTAAGTAATTTACAAAAACTGTATTTAGTATAAAATACTATTAATTTTTATATATTTTATTCAGAATTTAATTTTTTTTTAATATTATGTAAGTTCTGAACTAGTGTTACAATTTTTTTACTGTTGTGATTTTTATGAATTTTGATTTTTACAAAAATATTGTTTGTCAATATATAAATGTTGTGTCAGTTGACTCTAAGATAAATAATTTAGATTATGAAATCAATACTTTTATATAATTTTAATTAAATACACAAAAACAAAGATCTAAAATTTGTAAATTATAATTTTATTTATGTCATTAATATTGACTTCATGATCTGGTATATTTTGTATTGTAATCGTAGAAATATTATTTAATGTAATTATATATTAATGATTGTTTCAGCAATATTTATCATACGAACAATTAATTATTACCTCATGTGCAATTTTTATTTTACTTTATATTTTAAAATTATACAGAAATCGTTTTTTAATACTATATTTATTTTCAAAATAGAATTATTTTTCCTTAAGAACTAAAAATTAACTTCTCTCATGCAACTGTTTTAAATGACTTCTTTGAACTTTTTATAAGCCCTTCTATAATTTAATTTTAAACTTATGCAACTGCCTATATTTTTGATAAAAATGGTACTTTTAAAAATATGTTGAGCAAAAACTTCCTTGTCTCTTCAATGTCTGTACTTAACACAAAATATATGCAATAGACTAAAAAGTTTATTAAAAGAAGTGACTTGAGACATAGTCAAAGCTAAAATTAATAATTAAAAGCCGTCAGACATTTATATAGATGGATCTAATTGTTTATCCAGCGGGGTTTTGGGTATGTCCAAGTTAGTGGTTGGAGGGGAAAGTAAATAAGTTCTTATGTACATCCCTCCTTCAAGAAAAAATCTTAAGCACGTCATTAAATTTGGTCATAAAAAGTTTGTCATTATAATATGTATGCTATGCTAAAATTTAAAAACTAGTTTTGACAAATGTAACAAATAAATGAACTGTGTAAAAACATAATTAATCATCATGGTCGTGTGTTTTTCTTAACGGTATACAAGTTACATATTTAAAAGAAAATTATCACAGGAAAAATATCAAAGATAGTACACGATATGATATGATGTATCGAATAACATGATTCACGATGATCTAATGATAAGATATTGCAATATGACAACTTAGCCGCTAGTGAATTGTTTAGTTTATTTTCACCTTTATACTTTAACTTTACTTTATACTTTTGTATACTTTAACACCGTCCATTAGTTCCCGGCGGGCGTGTTAAAATTATTTAAAGAGTTGGCGATATATTTTCAGTCAAAAATAAAATTTTTATTACCAGGATTCTATGAGAATCAACGACGGAAGTTACATCACTATCCATCTTCTTGAATAACGTTGGTGTCCACATGAAAATTACTAGCGAGGCGTTGGACATCTCGAGACACCGGGACATATGATCACATTAGGTCCTTATGAATTCCTGGTACTAGTTTTGATATTTACTGTAAAATAACGATGTGGTTTTAAAATGTTAACTTGTTACCTCATGGTGGCGACATCTGGTACAATTTTTTTAAATTGCAAGTATTCAATAAAGTGGCACGGATATGTAATTTGAATTTCCATTAAGAGATGTCTTATACAAGTGCGTAATGGGCCAGGATGCATAAGTGCATTTATAGTTAACACTTCTAATTTGTCTTGTATGTCTTATAGCCGTAGCCGAAAGTGCTAAATTACGATCGTAATTTAGTCTTTTAAACTAAATGACACTTAGAGATTTTAAAGTGAATTTTGTTTTGGTGAATCTTTTAATTTAATTTAATTTGTTCATTAAATAATAATTTTTTATTTTATCGTGGAAATAAATGTCAATTGATATGTTGAACCTCAAACATTTTTTTTTTAAATTATTTTTATATATATAATAAACTCTAATTTTCTCAGTTAATGGTAAATATTTATTATATGACTAACAAGAGGAGGTCACAGTAATGGGGTCACCGATTTTCATAAAATTTATATAGATCTAATCTATATTGAATACAGAATCAGACGTATTTGGAATTTTTTGCCAATGCCCCCCTAAGTCGAGAAAATTGACTTTGAAAATTTTTAATTAGCTTAAATGGGGTCATTTTTCTTCCGGTTAACAATTTGTGTTATGGTCCAGTCGACAGTACGTAATCCTTAACACGTACAGGCTCGGGAACGAATATCTCTAACCTACTGACGAAATTTTATGCTTTTTTTTTCACTGTTTTCTCTTTGAATTATTAATTTTACGTAATATTTGTTAATTTTAGCTTCGATGCGAAGCTGAGAAGGTATTAATTTTACCATGATGTTTTTTTTTTTTTTTTTATGTCTGTTGCCACTTTTTCTCAGCTCTCACTGAAGATACAAGATTACAAGAAGTTTCGTGAACATAACAAGGTTCCACCCCTAATTTTAAAGAGAACCATAACTTAAAAGTTTAAAAAGCATTATTAGACAAATTTCTTTTTTCCTCTTTCTTTTCTCTTTTTCTTAATATTTTGACCTTTTATAAGGTTCAGAGTCGAACCTTTAATAGGGGAGAGGGTAATGTAAGAACATTTATTACTATGTTCTTACCACTTATATTACACACGTTTTATTTCTATTTATTTAATTCGTAATACATATTAATTAGCATAGAGGGAGATGCTGATGTGACAATTCTACTCGTCTGTAGCCCGGAGCTACTGACGTCGAACTAACAAATACCAGTTGTGTTTGAGTGGCCGTTATAGACATAATTTTCAATATTATTACTTTCGTCTTATTTATATTATTTATAACTT